CTTCATCAAATAGAGGGAGACTGAAAGTAATGAAGATCTTATTGAATTACTTTGGCAAAGATCTTGTTGATTTGATGAAGTCAAGAATGGAGTCAAAGGCTACTTTGTGGCAGTCAAAGGGCACTTGGATAAAAGAGAAGAAGGATTAGTGTGTCTGTAGAAGGATTAGTGTGTTTACAGCTCCGCTTAAATAAAATCACTTTTATCTTTCTGATGCATGAAGTTTCTTCATTTAAAAGATTTTGCAAATGCCTCTAAAAATATTTTAACGGTTAAAAACAAAGCATTTTGACAAAAGCTTTCTTAATCAACTATTTTAACTAATAGAATATAAGCTTTATCAACTAAAATGTTCTTCACACTTTTATAACAGGTTTTTAACTGATATAACTTCAAAATAACCGATTGTTTTCATTAAAGGAAGTTTTGAAAACCTTCAGTCAGTATTTTAACTGATACAGTTTCGAAATAACCGATTAAAATCACTTAAAATGTTCAGAGAAGTGTTCTGGCAGTATTTTAATCGATACAACTTCGAAATAATTGATTAAAACCACTTGGTGTATTGTTTGACCGATCAGAATGGGTTTATGACCGATCAGAACCAGATATGATCAATCAGAATTGAGTTATGACCGATCAGAACCAAATATGATCAATCAGAATTGAGTTATGACCGATCAGAATTATTTTAATCGATTAAACTACGTTTCAATCGATTAAATCAACTTAAGAAAATTTGTACTAAGCGTTTTAATCGATTAAAACGGATTTTTATCAGTTAATATCACTTGAAAAAGTTTATAAGAATATCTTGCAATATTTTAATCGATTGAAACACGAAACAATCGATTAAAACAAATTAGAAGATTTTTTACAAAGAGTTTTAATTGATATAAACGTTGTCGTATCAGTTAAAACAAATCTGAAAAATAATCAAGAACGTTTTAATGGATTAAAAGAAGTTTTAAGAGATTAAAACAAGACTTTTAACAGATTAAAAGATTATTTTAACAGATTAATTAAACCAACGAGTTTTGAAAATCTTCTATAAAAACAGAGTTGCTTGAACTTTTAAAACATCATCTGATATACATCTTTTAGCAATCAATCAAGCAATCAAAAGTGATACTTTCAAGAAAGAATTACGCTAGTTTTTGTGAAGTTCATCAAAGTTCTTTCTTGAGGCAAAATTGCATTCTTTTGGAGAAGAAACAACATATTGCAGAACTGCATAAAACTGGTTTGAGCCTTCTTAGTTTCTTTTGTTTCTTTCTTTACTTTCTTTTACTATATTGTGGGTGCCTGGAATTGTGGGCACTGGTTTCTGTAGCTGGAATTTGGCTGCAGGGTAGGTCAAGAACTGGAATTTGGTTCTTGGTGAAATGTTAGGTGCAGGAACTGGAATTGTTGTTCTTGTGGTAGATTGAGTGTGAGGTTAAGGTTGTAATCTGTAAAACATTCAATATAGTGGAACCCAGCTGGAATTTGACTGGAGACTGGACGTAGCCCTGGGTTTGGGTGAACTAGTATAAACCTTGGTGATATCTTTCTAAACCTTTCTCTTCTTTAATTTTGTTACTGCATTTATTTTTGATTGCTTGCTGTGTGATTCAAGAACAGGTATGAAATCTTAATCTGAGAAATAGATAATCTGTAAATTTGCAAAAATCTTTCAAAGATCAATTCACCCCCCCCTCTTGATCTAAACATAATTTTCTAACAAAAGTCACTCCAAAGAAAGACAATGGAGTGGCCAATGATGAATAGTAGTCATGGCAAGGAAGAGTTGAACAATGTTGATCTTAGCCATGGAAGAAAAAGTATCACAATAATCAAACCCATAAATTTGAGTATATCCATTGGCAACTAATCAAGATTTGATCCGATCAACTTCACCATTAGCACTAACCTTAACTCTATAGACCCATCTACAACCAAACACTCATGGAAAAATATGGTATATGGGGTCATTCAAAAACATAATGGAAAGAGGAATTTTATTTTCAAGAGATGAAAAAGGCATTTTATTGATTTGGAAAAAAGCATTAAGGATTGCATCTCCCCAATGGTGAAAAGGAAGATTAGTATTTAACATTGAGAACATGCAGTTTGAACAAGATGTCTATTCTATATCTTTGCTGTCTATTCTATATCTTTGCTATACCATTTGTTGTGATGTGTGAGGACATGTTGATTGATATAAAATTCCTTAGGAAGACTATAATAAGAAAACTCAGCAATATTCTTTATCATTGTGACTTTCAAAGATTTTATTATTTTTCACAAATTGATTATTTATCTCATTGAAGAAACACATAAACATGGATTAAAGTTAATATCTATCTTTCATTAAATAAACTCCATTGAAAAAATTCATTAATAAAGGTTACCAAATATCTAAAGCCAAAAGAGACATAACTAGGTCCCCAAATATCAGAATGAATGTTAGAAAAAACAAAATCACATCATTATTCAAACTGTTTAAAAAGGAAGATCTAACTGTTATCCTAACTTATAAGATTCATAACCTATAATTTAACGTAGTCTCAAACTATAAACCATCATCTTTAATTTTGATAAACTTAGGTGACCCAAATAATCATGCAAAAGTTTTGGGGTTGGAGTTGCAAAACAATACAAAAAAGGGCTTGGTTTCAGGTAATAAAGACTTTATGATTCATGTCCTTCACCAATTAAATGACTTGTACCATGTTCTTGTGTGACAAAGAAATTAGCATCAAATGTTACAAAGCAATTTAATGAACAACACAATTTAAGTTTAATGAAGGGGTCAAAGGGACTTGGTGAAATCCTTGAGATGCAACTTTTGATCCTTTATCATCACTAACAAGAAATAAAGGAAAAGGTAAAACTAATACTAGATATGTGATTAGAATAATCGGAGTCAAGAATCCATGGACTATGACCTTCCGTAGATTGAGAAATACATGTTGCTAAGACACTTGGGTAATGAAGAAGATTATTTTGACATTTGGATTTCTCATATTTGAAAAAAAAAAAAGTCGTTGTACTCTTTAACAAAAATTTTAGAGTCTAATTTTTCAGATTTAGAAATATGAGCTTCCTTGTATGGAAAATCATGCAAGGAATAGCAATTTTTTGGTATGACCTCTTGCACTATGAGCAATGACAATGTCCACTTCTACCACCACGTCCTCCTAGGATTCTACATCCTCCTTTTCTTCCATAAGGTGCAACCATTGCTAAAGTTTCAATAATTTTTGTTTGACTTTCATCCTTCACTATGTTAGGCACATGAAGGAGTCTAATGACTAAACAATCCATGAAAAGGATTCCATCGATAGTCAAAATTTGATCATGTACATGATCAAAGTCTAAATGTAATGTAGACTTCTCAAAATCAAGACCATATATAATTTATCAAGTTCCTTGTTGACATTCTCTAATGTAGTAGTCACTAACTTTTATATAGCTCGAACTTTTGCAATATGTGAGACCATATCATGGTTGGTCTATTTGAGTGAAGCTTTGAGTTGCACCATAGATATATTATATATTATAGCAAAAGTATTTTTTGCTTTCTTTCAAAACAAACAACATATCTTTAAGAATTTGAGTATCTCTAAAACCTAAGGCTCAAATGTATGCCATAAAACAACCCATAGTTAGAAGTTTTTGTCACAAAGATCTATTAGCATCAAAAATAAAATTGACTTTAATTTCCAAACAATCACAATATCTTTGACCAAAAACTATAAGTCCACGAAGGTTGATCAAGACAAATAGTTCTTTCAGTTGAGTTTTGCAATGGTAAAATAATAGGTGTAACAAAAAAGGAAGGAGCACAACCTAATAAAGCCATTTCAATTACAAAAAGAGGGACTAGATCATAGGAGAGAAAAGAGAAACCCTAATGTCATATGGAGAGAAAATTGACCCACAAACCAAATGTGAGGGAGCCGTGATGGACATCGACAGAAGACAGTGGTGGTCCAACAAAGAGAGAAGATAGAGTGAGATTGTACCTATACTGCTACCATCATAAATACTAAAATTAGTGTTATTAGTCTCACTATGTATTTGTATTTATATATAGATGAAAGTACATGTTCAAAAGAAAGGATTTTTGCCTCTAGCCCTAACCCTAGAGTTGGGTACATCTAAAAGAAATGGAAAAAGAAAGCTCATTAATAAGAAAAAAATGATTGTTCCCTCAAAATATAGCAAGCCAAGTCCAAAATCATGATGAAAGAGGGAGCTCCAAACTTCCAAATTGGTGATTTGGAGAGCAGTAGAAACTGAATATATGTCCAAACTCTTCTCTATATAGATAGGCAAAGAGATGGGTAAATTCAAGTAAGAGCAGCAGGGACTTTTTGTGCATAAGTTTTGAAGATAGAAGACCAAAGCATAAGGGGCATATATAAAGCATTTGTTCAACTAGTGAGAATTTTATTGCAGGTGTGATCAAGCATTCGTTGTGGCTAAGGACACTAGAATACACAAACAGAAAAAAAGAACAAATAAATGTTGCTTATTACACTAAAATAAATACACATTTAAGTAATGACATGCCTTCAAAATACCCCCTAAAAAGCAAGAAAATATGTTAGAATAGATAATAATATCCACTAATATCTTTATTGTACCTTTAAGTATCCTAGAATTCTAGAGTATCTAATAATATATCTCTCAGAATATTTTAGGGTATCTTGGAGATTATCTCTTTGGATTAATTTCTCTATTATCTCAATTTCCATATTACCTAATATCTCAACTTTGTTTCCTGATTTAGTTAGGATACTAATTTGTACACATGGAATTAGTAGTCAAGGTCTTATGAACGTATAATCACATTATAATTCATTATCAATATCCAAGGTAATATTATTCAAAGTATCTTATCTCTACATGCCTTCCTCAATATGAAAAATCCCATATTTCAAAAATATGCATGAAATAAGGATTAGAATCACCGTAGGACAAATGTTGTTTCAAATCTCAAATTTTCATTTTCATTTATCAATCTGCAATATGTCTAGATCTGAAACAACATCCCTAATATCCCCTTTCACCCAAATCTGTGAAAACAAAGGTAGTGAAACTATTTTGCACCATAAATTTTCTTTAGTATTTGATGTAGTTCCCCAGATATTTTCATTATCGGTAAAACAATATGATAGGATACTGAATAGGGATAGTAATATAAAAGAGAGTGATGGGCCTATAGAAGGAGAATTAGTGAGGCCCAAGGTATGGCGGGTTTATACTAGAAGGAAGAAGGTGGGCCCTTTGAGGAATGAATAGTTAGTTAGCAAGGTATCATGTGGCAAAAGGGGGAGGAGGAGAGATATTATCTGAAGGAGTCACTGACTCTGGAAAAGCTCTGTTTAGAGCATTTTTTGCTCATTAGCATATATTCAATCATACACAGCTTTATTACGTGATCATAATTTTTCTATTTTTGTTATTTAGATCTATCATTGGTCCGACTTGTCAGATACTTGAGCGTAGAGCTAGCGTAGTATTATATGCCTCCAAAAATGACCGATCAGATGCAGGCGTTGGAAGAGAGATTGGCAACAATGGAGGTTTCGGTGAAACAAAATCTAGTGGAATTTCATCAATCTATTTTGGAGGAATTTTCAAAGCTACATTCAATTCGTGAGGAACTTCGTGATTCAGCATATTCTAAAACAAAGTCATTGTCAGAATATCAAATGCAGCGAAAAAGATAGAATTTTTAGCATTCGATGGCATTGATCCCGTCGGTTGGATTACTTAAGCTGAAACATACTTTGAGGTACAGGGGTTACATGAGGAAGGGAAGGTTAGATTGGTGAAGTTAAGTATGAAAGGGTCAACCATTCACTAGTTTAACCTCCTTCAAGAGTCTGTTGATCGGTTGACTTGGACGAAATTGAAATGAGAGATGATTGGAAGGTATGGAAGACGAAGGAGTGAAAATCCATTTGAGGAATTGAGGAATCTAACGCAAACGGGAAGCATGGAGGAGTATTCAGAGGCTACCAAAGCAACAATACCTAAGACATTTCATGGGTGGTTTAAAGTCTTATATTCGGAGGCGCGTTCGCACTTTCAATTCGTTAAAGTGTCTTCATGTTATGAGATTTGCTCGTGATGTTGAAGTAAAGTTGTATGGTGACGTTTCACATGGTCGTGCACCATGAGGGTGGAAGGGAAATCGTGAATGGGTCTCGATTTTTATGGTAAAGGTTGACTGGGGTCAGGTCAAACTTTGGAAGCAGGAAAGAGTGGAAGTGGGCTTGGCCCAAGTTGGGGAGCACAGAACAGTGATCTGAGTTTTAGGGGTTCTTCTGTGGGCAATGCGAACCAAAATGACTCTCGCAACTCTACTCTGCACCCCTGTCACACCTCCAGTGATCGATTTTCAACTATAGATCGGAGTAGGGGCATTAAACACCTTCCTTATACAAAGATGATGAATTGTAAGGCTCAAGGCTTATGCTTCAGGTGTGGAGAAAAATATCAACCATTTCACCAGTGCTCAGAGTGCTAATTGCGATTGGTGATTCTAGGAGATGACGAAACAGTGAACAAGAATGGCGAGGTGATAGCCATTGAAGCTAAGGAAAAGGACCATGAACCCATGCTAGACTGCAGCACTATGGGGGTTTTGGAGCAATGGCGACTGAGCAAAGAAAAGGGACCACATTTTCTATGTTGCGGCTGGAAAGGAAGTTTAATGGTGTTTCGTTAGTGGTGCTTATTGACAGTGGGGCTAGTCATAATTTCCTATCGCCACATGTGATAACAGCACTAGCGTTGGAGGTAGAATCAAGTAAGTCCATGGGAGTGCGATTGGGTGATAGACATCGAGTTTCTACCGCTGGTAAGTGTAAACCAGTGAAAATTATGTTGGGTGAATTCCCTACTATTGTACCACCCTTTATATTGGAGCTGGGCAATTTCGATATGATATTGGGGGTTGTGGGACTACAAAAGTTTGGAAGAGCTACATTTGACTGGAAACATATGACTCTCAGTTTTTATTGGAAAGGATAGTGGGTGGGGTGGAATCACAAGGACATAAACAGAATTCAGGCAGAGAACAAGTAAATGTGGTGGCATCATTGCAAAGTTTGATGAGGGATGAAGTGAGAGAGGGAGAAATCAAGCATGAACAGGGGTTGTCTTCAGAAAAATTACAGAATGTTCAGACAGCTTTATCTTTTCAAGTGATTAAACAGTGGCTCGTTAAATGGAAGGGCAGGTTTGTTGATGAGACTACTTGAGAGGATGAAATGTTACTCCGTAATCAATTTCCTTGGCTGCACCTTAAGGACAAGGCTGGTATTGCAGAGGTGGGCAATGATAGGATACTAAATAGGGACAGTAATATAAAAGAGAGTGATGGGCCTGTAGAAGGAGAATTAGTGAGGCCTAAGGTATGGGCCTGTAGAAGGAGAATTAGTGAGGCCCAAGGTATGGCCGGTTTATACTAAAAGGAACAAGGCGGGCCCTTCGGGGAATGATTAGTTAGTTAACAGGGTATCACGTGGCAGATGGGAGAGGAGGAGAGATATTCTCTGGATGAGTCACTGACGCTGGAAAAGCTCTGTTTAGAGCATTTTTCACTCATTAGCATATATTCAATCATACACAGTTCTATTATATGATCATAATTTCTCTGTTTCTGTTATTTGGATCTATCACAATACTGTTCTGGAAATAAAATCACTTTGTTGTGAGATGATTAACTGTGTCTCACTTCAAATCTTTCTCATGAGATGTAGCAGGTGCTATGCTTTGTCTTAGAATGCTTTTTATTTTGGTTAAGTTACAAAACAATAAATAATAAGATCGAAAGAACACGGTCATACTTGTTTATGAGATTAATCATATCAATAACAATGTGGTATACATCATTGAAATATGTAACAATAAGATGAATATAAAATAAGAGTAAACTCCAATCATGCCATGAGAGATTGAGTGTATGGACTATAGACATACCTTATTGATAATTTCATCGGAGGAATCTTTGTTTCCAACCTTCACATCAGTTTCAGATTTAACAATAGGTTCTTCCTTGGCTTCTTTTGCTTTCTATGTTACAGGAAAGTAAAATGAAAATGCTAAACAAGCCTTAAAAAACTTATGTTTAAATGAAAAATTTATCTTCACCTCTTCAACTTTATTATGCAAAGATTCTTCACTTCCAGGACTATCGCTGGTTTCATCATCATTATCAAGTACATCTTCATCCTGTAAGAAAGAATAGAATAATAAAATAGATAGGATTTAAACCACCACCACATGATAGGATAGTTCAAGATCACGCATGTGCAAATGTGGTGTACATACAAACACACACAAGTGAAGGAACAATGGATAAGAAAGAGTAACTGATCTGTTTCACAGTGGGATGAGAGAAAAGTAGTCATATTAGTTGTTTTTCTGGCATTGCTTGTAAGTACAGTACAGGTAAACAGATGAATAGCAACAAAATTACTTTTTATTGCAATAACAACATATTTGCATGTTATTTAGAGGTAGGGTAGTCCACTGCATCAAGAAGAATGACAGGGTTTACTCTTTTTATCATATTCATAGCATAACTAACCTAAGGATGATATACAGGGTTGACACGGGATCAGGAAAATCTCTCTCACGCACATATATGCCAGATTAATGAATTCAAAAGTTAAATTAAAATTCCTCAGTAGGAAGCATTCTAATTGTACAGTCAAGTTCGGCAACCTTAATGGCAAATGTAATCATACCTGATCTGCTGGAGAACCTTCTAGATTTTCTATTTTATCATGATTATTTTCCCCAGCATTGCCTTCTACATCTAAATGCTTTCCAGCTTCATTTCTATTTGCCACATCTTCATCAGCTTTGTCTTTTGCTTCATTAGCCTTCTCCTCAGACCCCTTTTTCTGCATCTCTTCCTTTTCTCTCTGTAAACGTTCTTTCTCCTCTGCCTTCTCTATTTGTTCTTTATGATCTGTAATGGAAGCAAAAGTTATTTGTCGAAGAAAGTATTCCATTGATAGTATAGAAAATTGGTGCAACAAAAAATTTTCCAAAAAATAGACTGATAATGACCATCTATTTCAAATGCAAGTGGTTGCTTGAGGTCATACCATATGTATAATTAAACAGACAATTGGTTCATAATATCTCACACACTTGCTAATTGTACTCAAATTACACATTCAAAAGGTTTTTTACAAAACCAATAAAGGCATTTTAACACTTCAAACTGTATGTAACACCAAATGCATTTCTGCATCCCTAATTTATATATTCAAAAGGTTATTTGCGGAACCAATAAAGGCATCCAACAGTTCAAAAGGTTTTTTACAAAACCAATAAAGGCATTTTAACACTTCAAACTGTGTGTAACACCAGATGCATTTCTGCATCCCTAATTTATATATTCAAAAGGTTATTTGCGGAACCAATAAAGGCATCCAACAGTTCAAACCAAACATAGAACTAAATGCATTCTTGCATCCCTAACCAGATTTCTCCACATTCACCTGATCCTCCTACCGATGAGAAATAAACCTATTATTAATATGATGTTACTCCATAGATCAAGTTTATAAATTATCTCATTGTTGTCTATTAAATAATATTTTAATACTTAAAAAAATTCTTTTAATTTGTCAATTGCAAATTTTAATTATTGAGATCTAATTATGAGTAATTAAATGGTAAAAATAAAATATTTGCAACTTTAAGGGCTATGATCTATCGAATTCTTAACTGGAATCATAGGATCTATTTGAATTTGATTAATTCTTTCTTTTATCCCATTGTAATATTTTTCAGCATGGAATGATCGTATTTGAAACAATTAGTCAGAGGTACATTTGACACATTGCCTATATTTTTTCAATGATCATTGTTTTTATGCTCAAAACTCTTCAACTAAGTTTGCATGTTGTTTATATGTGATAAGAAAAAATTCAGAAGAACAGGATGGAACCAAAAAGAGATACCCTTTAGCTGTTTTACGATCCCTTTAAGTATACTTTCTTCCTTTTTTAATTTTGAAAGTTCTGCCTCGTCCTTCTCGATAGCTACTTTAGCTTGTTCAATTTCTTGCTTTCGCAATTTGACACCCTCTTGATAAGTAGCAATCTTTTTTTTCAGTCTATCTCGAGCCACTTTCCCAGCCTCCCAGCAGGTATTTGGACACTTTACTTGACCATCATATTCGTCAGTTCCATCACAACAATCTATAGATCAAGACAGCAGAGCAAAACCAATTACTTAAGAGCTAACAAAACACATAAGTCTAATAATCCAAATTACAGTAATTTTAACTTTACATAAAGATAATTTTGAAGTCATTATCTATAAGAAAGGAATATACTTTCAGAAGTTATGTACACATGCAGAATGTTAGTGAAGAATGAAAACATAAGGTCCGCTCTCCATACTCATCAAGCTCGTTACATGGTAATAGACCTCAAAATCTTTGGAATTCTAAACGTAGCTAAAATAAAATACAGAAGGAATAACTGTATCACGATGTCCAAAAAATTTGCTTCTATATCAAGTGTCAGCTATGCGCCAGTTCCAAAATTATTAGCTTATATATCAAAAGGCGCACTGAAAAGTAATCCATAAATGCATAATCATTGTCAAGACGACCTTCTAAATCTGTACTAATATGACCTTGCTCGGGTACAACTATCCGGATTGGACATTTTACTTGTATCAATTCCCCCCTCCCTATTCCCTATTCTCCTTTGCTTCAATTTTCCAGCTTAGGCACTCTCTATAACCACACCATATGAATTACACAATACAACTATGAAATTTGTATAATACGAGAATCGCTCACCGCAGATTCCATCATTCACTCTGGATGAAAACAAGTAAACAGGAGAATGTCCTGCATTCCCACAAAAAAATCTTCCACCCGGACATGCCGATGTACCTGCCCCAAAAAAGAGGGGAATGAAAAATATTAATAAAACAATGAACATTGAGAACAGCAGATAATCCTGTATGAAATAAATAAATTAAATCGCTAAAAAAAAAAAAGAACCAGGTTCATCGGTGCCATCAGCGCAATCGCAAAAATCGTCATTGAGCTGCGCCTTGTTGAATTTTCCGGATCCATCTTTACATCTTATAACATCAGAAGCCCTGTAATACTTGTCATCTGCGAGAAACAGTAACACGCATTTCTTCAGTAGAAACATAAACAACCGCCAGTGTCAAAATACAAATAAAATTGAAAACCATAGCGATGAATATTGCGGGGAGCAAGGGAGAGGAACCTTCGGGAGCGATACCGAGGAACGGGTCCTTGGGCTTCGAAGATGAGGAAAATGGGGCGCACAACACCAGAGCAATGAGGAGGATTCGCAGCCGCAGCTTCATGTTCTGCGTGAAGAAGAATGTGAATTGAGAATTGAGAATTGAGAATTGAAAATGAAAATAATAGTCATAATAATAATAATTAGATCAAGGTGAGTTTGTGAAGTGTTAAATGGCGGTGTAATTAAAAGTTTGTGTGTAGCGCGGAGTTGTGAGCGTGATCGGAATGACACCTTTCGGTTTCCGACTAGCGACTGCTACTGATGCGTGATAAGTGAAATGAGATTCTAGAAACTACAGTTTTTCAAGACAGTCCCATGCCTAACCTGAATTACTTTTTCTTGGAAATTTTTAGTGAGCAAGATTTTCAAAAATCAAGTCACTTCAATTTATCCATCTACATCCTAAACTTTTATCTTAAATTAATTTGGTTTGATCAATAAAATTTAACCAAAAAATATTTTCATTCAAGATCAAATTGGGTTAGAAAATTACAATTTTTCATTTTTGTCTATATTATAAATATATCACTTAATACAACTTTATCATAATAACATTTTAAAACAAATATTTAAAATAAAATAGTTTGGGTCCTTATATAACATCTAATTAAAACATTTATAAGTTATAAATAAAATAAATTCAATTTTTATTACACAATCTCTTTAATTTTTATTTGTCAAGCTAATATTCACCCCTATATATATATATATATATATATATATATATATATATATATATATATATATCAGTTAATATTAATTATCAAATTTAAAAACTATAAAATTAATCAATAAATATTATAAATCAATACATTTATCTAAATTTAAATAATAATTTATACCCACTCTCATTTTGTTTTATTTCTTTAATAATGAATGTGTACAGTTGGTTATCATGAAAAAAGTTGCAACATATATAATAGGTGTTATTTTTATTATAGTATCATATTTGAAACTAAAAAAATAAGTTATCTGAAAATTTTATAGATACGTTATTAATTTGTATTAAGAATTCATAATATACCATGCTTCATATTAGAAGTTACACTTAAATTTTTTATTTTGTCCCAATATATCATTTTAATTAAATTAACTCTTTAAAAACTAATAAATATGAATGTAAATAGTTTTAACGTAGAAATAAATATCTTGATATAAATCTAATGTAGATTATGTGATAATAAAGTAAATTTACAATTTAAAACATTATATACATTTATAGTATTAGTAAAAAGAAAAATTATTAATTACAAATTTATAATATTTTAATTAAACAAAAACTTTTTATTATAGTTTAATTAAATTATATATTTATATTAAAATTTTAAACTTTGCATCAATTTTTTTTTAATAAATTTATTGGTCTCAAAATTGTTACCTGGCAATGAGACAAGAATAAAATATATTAACTAATAATATATTAATTATATAACATATATATTATTTTTGGAATTACGCACTAATATAAAGAGTTATGCAAACTGAGATTCATGAATTTATTCCTAAATATATGTCTATCATTTAGTTTTTTTATTCCTAATTTTTGAATGACTTGAAAGAAGTTATACAAATTTCCTATATATTTATAATTAATTGATAAAGATAACCACATTATTAACAAATGGGTAATTATATTTTTAGTTTTGCTTTTTTTTTTGAAAATTTATTTGAATTCTTATATTTTAAAAGTTAACAAATTAATCCTTAAGTTTAAAAGAATATATGGATTTTATTATGATAAAAAAATATTACTAAATATCATATCTACATAAAAATTTATTAAAATAAAATTTAGTTGTTTTATTAAGATAAAAAATTTTTGAGCCTAATACTAAATATAACCCATTTGTTTAGTGTCCTTAGTTAGTACTGTAATAGACATCAACCTAATAATGATAAAGATAGGACGTATATATATTCAAATAAAAAAAATTTTGAGCCTAATACTAAATATAACCATTTGTTTAGTGTCCTTGGTTAGTACTGTAATAGACATCAACCTAATAATGATAAAGATAGGAATGATAAAGATAGGACGTATATATATTCAAATAAATTTAAATCACATAATTTTTTTTTCTTTTTAAATAAATTCTATTAAGTGTTTAGTCATCTAATAAATGTTTAAAGTGTTTATCTCACTAATTCAACCACTTTTTTTTTTCGTGTATAAGGATCATAGTGATATTCTTGAAAGATTTTTTTCTAAGTCATCAATCTCCAAAAATTTTGTAGCATATATAATTTTGATCTTTAATTTTAATAATCATTAATATATATCTCATTATATATTTATAACTAAAATATATATTTATAATTTTAGTTGTTAATTTTTTTTATTTTTTATTTACTAATATTTTTATTCATTTATTAATAATATATTATTTAATTTGCTCGAATTTAATAATAAAAATATATCACAAAATAACTGGAATAATCACATTTTTAATAGTTTCAACCAACATCACTCTTTTATAATTAATAGGAAGGGTAATTGTATATATAATTCAAATATCTTAAATACATTCCCTTAATATTACTAAACTATTATAGTGATTGTGAAGTATTTTTTTATATATTATAATAATATTACTCGTGCAAGAAAATTTCAGTAACGAAGTTTTCTTTATTTTATATATGCGTGTACGAGAAAGGGGGAGGAGGCGGGAAATTTAAGCAAGTAGTTCCTCCTCTCAACATTCTTCTTCTTTTGTTTAAATTTCAAGCAACGAGACTCTATTCATGCGGGATCTCGGTGAAACGGGAGAGAGCTTGAATTAAGTGGGAAAGCTTCGGTAGAAATATCACACCAAGTAAGGAGAAGTTTAATTTATTCAATATATGAGACTAAATTATTGAGTACTCTGTGAATAAGGAATAATAGTGGAAATTTGAACATTAGAATGATTGATTTTGAAGATTTCTCATGTTTTGCAAAACTTGAAATTTTGTTGGAATTCTTGAAATTAAGGATGAATTATATGGTAAAATTATTGTTTTCAACTTAAATTAGATATAAGTCATGTTTAATTTGAATTTCAGACTAGTTTGGTTGTGTAAAACTGAGTAATTTGAAATATGCTAAAATCTGCAAAATTTGATATTGTTACTAGATGCGAGGAAGAAGAAAGGGACATGGAAGGAATTTTCGAAAATATTCAAGGGTAAAATAGTCATTTTCGGGACATGAAAGGAATATTTGAAAACATCCAAGGGTAAAATAGTCATTTAGGGACATACATGAAATTTTCAGAAAAGATTAAAGGCAAAATAGTAATTTAATGATTTCGGAAAAAAAGAAGAGTATATATATATATATATATATATATATATATATATATATAAATATAGAATGAAGGTAACGAGTTTTAAAGATTCAATAGTGTGTTGTGATGTGTGTGGGTCGATCGAGTCTAAGAGCCGATGCCCGAATCGGTCATGAGATGTTATGTATTGGCTAGACTGAGCCGGAGGGTTGCTGCCCAGAATCAGTCAAATATTATTATTTATTGACCCGAATGAGCTGTGAGGATAGGTGGTCCAGAATCCCGCAGATGTGAATGATTTTTGTTGTGTTTGAATGGTACCCGGGGTGGTACAAAGTACATTAGTGTAATAACTATGTCGGAGGATTCTGAATGAGGTCTCAGACTTCACTGATTGGTCGGGTCAGGTAGACTACGAGATCAGGTGGTGAGAAGTTGATGGGGGGATGACTCGTGGCGTGCTCTGAGGGGTACTCCAGTATGAGTGATGAAGGGCGCCAGTAATCCTACTCTGTGTGGAGGGTGGTCAGAATGGTACTGCGGATGCCAATCACAATGTGCCCGCAAATGATAGTCTCTGAGTTTGGGCATAGTTAGGATAGACTTCCGGAAGACGTCTTAGTGTATTGATGATTTGTAATTGATGATAATATGTAATTATTACTTCTATATATGTTTTATTATATCGAATAATTTAATGCTTACCCCTATTTTTCCATGTGGATGGGACTGCGATGATCACTTTTATGTGGGAGCAGATCAGGAGTTAAGAGGTGAATATGCGACTACTGGACAATAGGGATAGTTCAGTGGGATAGCTTTGTGGGAACTACTTTTGCATGTATCTGTATAAATAAATTATGTTACTATGTTCTGAGGTTCCGTCAATGAACCGAGACTTCAGTCTATATTACAATTACAGTAATATAATGTAATATAGATATTATTATTTACTTGTTTACTATTTTGCAAAGGTATTATTATAGTAGCGATTTCTAGGGTCGTTACAATAGTGGTATCAGAACGGTAGTATCCTTGTAAATCTGTGGGGATGGGTAGTGAACCTATGATAAGTTCGTTGTGATTATACTCTGATATGAGTGTGTGTGAATGTTTGCTCTGTATTGATGGTTGTGTTTGATATAGGATAGCATCGCGACCTCCTATTCCTACTCCGCCGAGTGTAAATGCCCTAGTCAGGGTAATGGAAATGTTGGCAGCTGTCATACAGCAGCAGGCTACCTACTCGTAGTGGAGGCCAACTATGGCATCATCCTCTGCTGGATTTCACCAGTCATAGCAGATGGAGTTGACTGAGTTCATGAGGCATAATCCGCCTCGTTTTGGAGGAGATTTGGGTCCAGATGCAACAAAGAAGTGGTTGCGTGAAGTGGAGAAGATTTTTTAGGCTACCTTATGCTCGGAGGACAGGAAACTGACCTTTGGAAAATACTTACTAGTGGATGGGGCTGAGTTCTAGTGGTCAGGGACTTAGATGATGATGACTGCATGTGGGGAGGTGTGTAATTGGAAAACCTTGCGTGAGAGATTTCTGGATAAATACTTCCCTGACAATGTTAGATTTCAGAAAGAGACTGAGTTCCTGAGTCTAAGACAGGGCAATATGACGATGCATGATTACGTCGTACGATTTGAGCACTTATCTCATTTCTACATAGGTACATCTTCAGAACAGTGGTTTTGCACGAAGTTTGAGGAGGACTTAAGGGCTGAGATCAAGCTCATGGTGGTTCCTTTCTCTATCAGGAGATTTCTAGAGCTGGTGGAGAAAGCA